TGTACTGGTTCTGGCGGATCAGGGCGCGCAGGGTCCCTGGGTTGGTCAGGGCGACGTCGGCGTCCAGGCTGAAGTAATAGTCGCAGTCGGGGTCCTGCCGGCAGATGTCCCTGCGGGGCACGCAGCGGGGGGGGCATCAGACAAGCACCATGAACCCGGTTCCTCCCCCCCCACCCCCACATGCTGACCCCACGGCCCCCCCACCCCTCATCCGTGCCCATCTCCACCCCCCACTTATCCATGCCCCCTGCTTCATGACCCCAACATGCCCCCTACGCTCCTTGGTCCTGCCCCCCATTGCTCAGCCCCGCCCCCATCCCCACCCATCCTAATCCCTCTCCTGTAGCCCCCATCCCATTTCCAGGGCCCCACCCCCATTCCCATGGGCCCGCCCACAGTCCCATTGCCCCCACCCACTTCCTCTGACATGGCCCCGCCTCCATTCCCCAAGCCCTGCCCACTCACATGGCCATGTCCCGGGCCTCGCCCTGGCTCAGCTCTTCCTCCGGCCCCACCAGCCTGACGCTGGCAAAGGCCCCACGCAGCCGCTCCCAGGCCCCCTGCACGTGGGGCTCGTGAAACACCTCCTGGGGGGGAGGGGCAGGGGTCAGCCGGGGGGTGCCAGGGACCCCCCCTGCGTGGGACGGGCGGTCCCTGTGGGGGAGACTCTAGGGATCCCTGAGAGGTCAGTGCTGGGGAATGGGGGGGTCTCCAGGGGGTTGGTGCTGTGGGGATGAGAGAGGATCTAGGGGTTGCCGGGGGGCAGTGTTGGGGTGGGAGGGTCTCTGAGTAGATCTGGGGTCAGTGCTGGGGATGGGGGGGGCATGTGCTGGGGATGGGGGGGGATCTGGGAGGGCCTGGGGGCCATTGGGGGTCATGGGAGGATCTTGGGGTCCCTGGGGGGATCTTGGGGTTCCTGAGAGTGAATGCGGGTGATGGGAGGTGTCCAGGGAATGGGGGTCGTGGGCAGGAGCCAGCAGTTGCAGGGGCAGCCAGGGGTCATGGGGCAGCTGGGGGTTGTGGAGGGTTGTGGGGGCAGCTGGGGGTCACGGGGCAGCTGGGGGTCGTGGGGTCACTGAGGTTGGTAGGAGGTCACATGGGCAGACGGGGGTCACAGGGGGCGGCGGGGTCACTGTGGGTCACAGGGGGTGGCGGGATCACTGTGGGTCACAGGGGGAGGCGGGGTCACTGTGGGTCGCAGGGGGAGGCGGGGACAGATGGGGGCCGCGGGGTCACTCACGCGGTTGTGCAGGAAGAGGCTGAGGCGGGCGTAGGGATAGGCCCAGCCCAGCAGGCGTTGCAGGAACTGGGGCAGGAAGGGGGTCGGCTGCTCCACGAACACCCCCACCAGCACCCGGGGCAGCGCCTCCTCCTGGGGAGAGACGGGGGTCAGGCACCCCCTTAACCAGCCACTGCCTACCCCCCCAACCCAGCCACCCAAGCCCAGCCACACCCTGTACCCCCAAACCCAGCCACACCCTGCACCCTCAAACCCAGCCACTCCCAGCCCCCCAAAAACAGCCCCTCCCTGCTCCCCAAAACCAGCCACTCCCTGTACCCCCAAACCCAGCGACGCTGTGCACCCTATCCTGGGGAGAGACAGGGTCACTCCTAAACCCACCACTGCCCCCAGACACCCCCAAACTCAGGACCACCAAATGCACCCCAGACCCCCCAATTCCAGACCCCCCCACCCCCAGAAACCTGTCCCTCAGATATCCCCCAATTCCAGATACCCCCAATCCCATCCCCCAGACTCCCCCTATTTGAGATCCCCAAAACCTGCCCCCACCCCCAAATGTGCAGCATGGCCCCCCCCACCTCAGAGCCCCTCTGGCCCCCACCCCACCTGGGGCTCGGCTTTGGGGTCCAGCCCCCCACTCACCGGGGTCCCCGAGAGGTCGAGCAGCCCCTGATCGCAGCCCCCGCAGCCCCCCTCGTAGGTCCAGCGGTTCGGGATGTAGTTCCCCAGGTAGTTGAGCTGCAGCTGGGGGGGGAAGGAGTGAGATACGGGCCCCCCCATCCCGCCACAGCCAGCTATCTGCCCCCCAGCACTCTCCTGCTGCGCTCCAGCCTCCTGCCGCCACAGCCGGCCCCCTATCTGCCCCCCAACCTCAGCCCCCCCATCCTGCCACAGCCGGCCCCCTATCTGCCCCCCAACCTCGGCCCCCCCAGCCCTCTCCTGCTGCCCTCCAGCCCCCGCCCTCCTACAGCCCCCACCCCAACAGACCTCCCCACAGCTGCGAGGATGGGGGGCGGGTTTCTGGGTGTCGGGGGCACCTGCCAGGGGAGCCCCTGGCTATGCGCACCCTGAGAGACGGGGGAGGAAGTCAGACGGGGGCAGGGAGGTTCCTGGGGGGATCTGCGGGAGGAGAGGGGCTGGGGGTCCTGGGGGGAATCTCTGAGGAGAGGGGTGACGGGGGTCCCTAGGGGGATCTCGGGGGGGTGTTGGGGTCCCAGGGGGGTTGTGGGGGTCCCGGGGGAGGAGGGGGTGTCAGGGGCCCAGGGGGAATTTCAGGGGGACCTGGGGGAGGAGGGGGCTGTGGGGGTCCCGGGGGGGGAAATCTTAGGGGTACCTTGGTGGGCCCATTGCCATGGATGACGACAGGGAGGGTGTCGTAGGCCACGTTCCGGGCACGGACCCGGCTCCTCTCGAACTTCAGCACCACCTCGTCTGAGAGAGAGAGAGAGAGAGACGTGGAGTCCCAGCCACCCAGCCCCCACCCCCTCCCAGAGCCGGGGAGAGAACCCAGGAGTCCTGGCTCCCAGCTCCCCCCACCCTGCTCTAACCCACCAGCTCCCCCCTCCCCTCCCCTCCCCTCGCCGAGAGAGAACCCAGGAGTCCTGGCTCCCAGCCCCCCTGCTCTAACCACCAGTCCCCACTCCCCTCCCAGAGTTGGGAAGATAACCCAGAAGTCCTGTCCCCTCCCCCCGGAGCTGGGATAGGACCCAGGCGTCCTGACCCACCAGGTTATGGGGTGCCCCCCCGTCTCTCACCAATGGCCCCATTGAGGTTCTGGAAGATTTTCGACTTGTGGTCGAGCGCCAGCCCAAACTTTTCCTGCAGGGGGCAGAGGGGGGGGGTCAGAGCGGGGAGGGACCTGCACTCAGAGACTGCCCCCATCACCCCCCCGTTCCACCCCACCCCACGTCCCCTGAGATCCCTTCCCTCCACTGCTGCCCCCCAGCATCCAACCCCCTTCCCTGCCGCCGATCCCCCCCACCCCTCCCCCTGCCCCCCCGCCTACTCTCCTGCAGTGCCCCCCATGGAGGCGGGGGCCTGGGGCCAAGACCCCTGAGGGAGGGCTCCCAGAATCCCAACAGGAGCTGAAATGATTTAATGGGTCGGGGGGGTTACTGGGGACAGGATACCCCTTAGGGGGGGAATATCTCCCTCAAATGTCCTCCCGGCCCTGAACCCCCCACCCGACCGCCCCCCAGTGGGACCCAGGGTCCTCTGCAAAGAGCCGGTGGAGATTGTGTGGGTGTGTTGGGGATGTGGGGGGTCTCCCTGCTGCGCACCCCCAAACCAGCAATGAGCAGGGGCCGATTCCCCAACTTCCCCTTCTTTGGTCTTCTCCATTGGGCGCCTGGAGCTCGGCCACCCCTCCCCAGAGTCAGCCGCATCCCAGAGCCAATCCCAAGCCCCCATCACAGAACCCAGGAGTCCTGGCTCCCAGCTCCTCCTGCTCTAACTCACCAGCCCCCCGTCCCCTCCCAGAGCCGGGGACAGAACCCAGGAGTCCTGGATCCCAGGTCCCCCCCACCCACCCCGCTCTAAACTTCAGCTGGTGCCCCTCAATCTCCAGTTTGTGGCAAATTCCTGTCCAAATTTGGTGGTGGTGGGATTTGGACCAGAACCTTTCCCCGATAGCCTCGTTTCCAGCCCAAACTTGCCCCACCCTGCCCCCGACCTGGGCTGGCCGAGTCGTTCCTTCCCACCCCCGCCGCGTTCAACATCAGGCCCTTTCGCCCCCTGCCCCGCCAGCGCCACCTAATGGCCACACAAGCGAATATGGCTCCCGGCCCGGCTCCCCCCTGGTCTCATCCCTCCAATCGTCACTGCTCGGTCAGTTGCGGCCCGTCGTCCATCTCTGGCGCTGGAGCAGCGGCACGAGGAAAAGTGCACCTGGGTTTCTCGGTGACGCCGCGTCTTTCAAGTGGAGTATTTCTATCTCCCCGGACAAACCATCCCCGCTGCCCCGACCACGGTGCCCTCTGCCCTTGCGCCCATCGGCAGCTCTTCTTAGGTCCCTCTTTCCAAGTCCCTGCGCATTGATTTGTCCTCAAAAGCCCATCTCACCAGACCCTCTGGCACGGTCTCCCTCTTCCTTCCCCAGGCCGAGCTGGTTGTTGGTCTTTCATCCTTGTGACGGCCATCCGATAGGGTACGGGGGTCTTCCGCACCCTTGGGCACACTGGCTGGAATTGGTCCCTTGTAGTCTGGGTGGTCTCTCGGTGCGCCCCAGGGCTTTTACGGTGGGGCGGCTGCGGGGGATAGGGGGACCTGGGCCCACCCTACTCCACGGGGTCCCAGCCCAGGCCCTTAGCAACGGGGATCCCACGAAAAGAGGCTGAGCTGAATTCTGACAACACCCCCGGACTGGTATAAACGCAACCAGATCCTCCCCCCCCCGGTCTTAGTCACCCTCTGCAGTAAAGTCCAAGGATGTCATGAAATGCTTCGTAAATGAAAGCCGAGACCTGGAGCGCTCCAGTACTTCGGCGCCGCTTGTTTGCAAGGCGAAATCTGGCAAAATACGGCTTCTGTACGTCCGTTGAGAAGGTGTGTCGACGCCGAAGGCCTCTGGGGCCCTGGAGAGGGGCAAGATCCGGCACGCCGTTCGCCGCTGACTTTCCATTCGCCGCAGACTTCTGATGCCATGTCTGAGGCTTCTCTGGCAGATCCGGCCAGGCATCACAGCTCGCTTTCATCCCCCCATCCTAAGACCCTTTAATACGCTGCCAGCTCTGGGTGAGGTTCGCACAACTCCGGGATTTGCATGTTTTGCGCCAGAGCCATGCACCAGACCTTGGCCTCCCAGTGCAAAACGTTCCCCAAAGTTTCCCCTAGGGTCTGGTCATTTAGAGCCACGGGATTTTGGAGGGGTTTAGACAAGTTTTTCCCCTAATTCCCCCCCTGCCGCACCCCAATTTGCAACCAAACTATTGCCCTATTCTCACTGGTTGTCAGCCCAGAGATGTGGGTCGTGTTTGGCCCAAGTGGGTCCTTTGTTTCCAGGTGCGAGGTGGCCGAACAAGCCCCTGCCCACCCCACACCCCCTCACACCAAAAAAATAAAAAAGGTTTAATGCCAAAAGGCAAAGAAGGAAACAGGGTCCCCCAGGGCTTGGGGTGCCGGCTGATGGGAGGTGGGGGACACGGGGGGCAGCGGGGCAAGGGGGCGGGGACCAACCCGCAGGCCGGGGTCCAGGTAGATGCGGGTGTAGAACAGCTGGTCGTCGTCGTCGTCCTGGTATTTCCAGAGCTGGACCACGCCGTGGATGGTCGGAGCGAAGCCGATGAAACCTGGGGGGGAGGCGGAGAGGTCAGGTACCCCCCCGCCAGGCCCCCACCTCCTGGGGGGCTGCCCCCCCGGACACTACACCCCTCCTTCCCCCCCACCAGGGACCCATGCCCTCCCCCTGCCCCCGTATACCTGTAACACCCTGCCCTGGGCAGGCCCACCCGTACCACCAGGTACCCGCAGTGTCCCCCCACTCCTCCCGGCCCTCCCAAACCACTTCACACCTTCCCATCCCCCCCACACACCCCTCTGCCCTGTCCCCCCTAACCCCATCTACCCCCCTACATCCCCTCCCCCTGTCCCCCACCCCACCCTCCCCCGAACACCCCACCCCCTATCCCACGCCCCCCCTGCCCCCATCCTCCCCGAACACCCCTCCCCTGTCCCTCGACCTCTCTGCCCCCATCCTCCCCCCCAGTCCGGGCACTCACCGCCGGAGTTGAGGAAGCGCTTGCCGGTGCTGACAGGGGGGTAGCGCTCGGCCAGGCCCCACTCGGGCCAGCAGAAGCCCTCTGCCGAGAACACGACCCGGCTGTCGAAGGCCAGGAACTTCCGCAGCAGCTCCACGGGGCCGCCGGCCAGCAGCACGTCGTAACTGGGGGGGGGCATACGGGTCACAGTGACCCCCCGGGCCCGCTCTCTCCGCCCTCCTGCCCCAAAGGGGGCCGGGCGACCTCTGCATCGCCAGCCCAGGTCCCCTGGCCACCGTGGTCCCCGCCAGGGCTATGGGGCTTGACTGGAAGTTTTGGGGTGGGGGGCGGTGTGTGGGGGTGACAAGGTAGGGCCTGGCATCCCAAGGCAGCCAGTGAGTTTCCTCCACGGGGGAGCTGTGTCCTCCCGGGGGGGGGGGGATTGGGGGTTGTCCCACATGTCACAGAGACAGGTAAGCGTGGGGGGGTCCCCCTCCGTCAGGAGGAGCTGGGCTGGGAATTGCAGGTTGCCCTGGGGAGCGTCACCCCACCAGTGCACCCCCAAAATCCCCCTCCCAGCCCAGACTGGCCCCCCGAACGCTGCTTGCAGCACTATGGGGCTGGGAGTGGAGCAGGGGGGACGGTGCTGCCCGCTGCGCCCCGGAGCTGGGGACCCCGAGACGTCAGGGAGAGCAGGGCACCCGCCCCCCTGCCCCCGCCGTACCTGTCGACAAACATGACGACGAGCTCCTCATGTTCTGCGTGTTTCGCCATCTCCTCCTTCAGCCAGCGCACCTTCTGCCCGCCCCCCACCGTGCGGGCCACATCCCCCCCGCGCCATTCCTCGCCCAGGCCCAGGGTCTGCAGGACAGGGAGCATGAGAGAGACCCCAGCCCGCCCAGACACTCCCAGCTCTGAGGCTGGGCGCGGGGGCTGGTTACACAGGGATCCCTGTCCCGGCGCCGAGATGCGCCCCGCTCTGGGGCGGGGCGCGTGGGCTGGTCACCCAGGGACCCCTGTCCGAGCGCCGAGATGCAGCCAGCTCTGGGGCGGAGCACAGGGGCTGGTTTTACAGGGACCCCCTGGCCAGGTGCTGAGATGCAGCTGCCTCTGGGGTGGAGCAGCTCGTTATACAGAGACCCCTCGCCTGGCGCCGAGATGCAGCCAGCTCTGGGGCCGGGCGGTTGGTTACACAGGGACCCCTGTCCCAGTGCCAAGATGCAGCCAGCTCTGGGACGGGCTCCGTCTCACCTTGACGGTGTAGTTGAAGTAGCGGGCGGTGCGCAGGAATCGCTCGTATCCCTCCGTCTGCTCCGTGGCAGCCGTGATGAGCAGCAGGTTATCTGTGGGGCAGAAAGGTGCCGGGTTCTGGTTAGTTTCCCCCACCCATAGACCCAGCTTGGCTCCACACGCCCCCGGCACACAAGTGGAAGAACCCAGGAGTCCTGGGGGGCTGCGGCCAATGGGGAACGCTGGCAGCACCTGGCCCTCACTGATGCTGGAGGATGGGGAATCCCCCTCCAGGGGCAGCCGTGCGGGGGCTCGGACACACACCAACCATTCAGACAACAGCACCCAATGAGGCGTCCCTGCCCCCACTGGGACTTTCTCTCCCAGCGCTGGGCCCTGAAATTCCAGCTCCCCCTGCCCCCCCTTCCCTCTGCCCCGCTCCCCATGTCTCGGCCCTGCGCCCCACAACCAAGATCAGGCCCCCAACACGCCAGGGGGGGAAAAGCCAGGGGACAGGATGGTCCCCACCCTGTGATGCCGGCCCGACCAGCCAAAGGGGATGAGGGGAAACTGAGGCACCATGGGGGAAGGGGCTCTCCTAAGGGCTGCATCTTAAGGAAGTGGATGGCTCAGTGGGTCGGACCCTGGACTGGGTGCCTGGTTCTGGTCCCGGCTCAGCTGCTGCCCTGCGGGGGACATCACACAAGGCCCTTTCTCGCACGCTGCCTCAGTTTCCCCCCTCGCCCTTTGTGTGGTCAGGCTGTGAGCTCCACACGGCAGGGCCTGGCTCACGGTGTGTGTTCAGCGCCTGGCGCGACAGGTCCCCGGTCTCAGTCGGGGTGGGGAGGAGACCACGCAGCCCCTGGCACGGTGGGGCCCCCCTCTCAGGCAGTTACTTGTCTTACGTGTGAACAACCAGGACAAATTCCCAGCGCCTGGCCCTCGCCACGCAGCTAATTGGAAGCAGAGGGCGGCGCCCGGGCCAGGTCTGGTGACTGGGCTTGAAACGGCGACGGGGCCCCCGTTCCCCCCTCGATCCCGGCATGGGGCCCCTGCGGCCCCCAGAGAAGGGCTGGACCCCCACGGGAAAGAGCAGGGGGCTGGGAGCCAGGACTCCTGGGTTCTCTCCCAGGCTCTAGGAGGGGAGTGGGGGTTGGTGGGTTGGAGCAGGGGGCCTGGGAGCCAAGACTCCTGGGTTCTCACCCCAGCTCTGGGAGGGGAGTGGGGGTTGGTGGTTAGAGCAGGGACGGGGGGCTGGGAGCCAGGTCTCCTGGGTTCTCTCCCCGGCTCTGGGAGGGGAGTGGGGGCTAGTGGTTAGAGCAGGGGGGGTCGGGAGCCAGGACTCCTGGGTTCTCTCCCCAGCTCTGGGAGGGGAGTGGGGGCTGGGAGCCAGGACTCCTGGGTTCTAGTCCTGGCTCAGCTGCTGCCCTGCGAGGGACATCGCACAAGGCCCTTTCTCGCAAGGTGCCTCAGTTTCCCCCCTCGCCCTTTGTCTGGTCAGGCTGTGAGCTCCACACGGCATGGCCTGGCTCACGGTGTGATGGGTCCCCAATCTCGGTCGAGGTGGGGAGGAGTCCACGTAGCCCCTGGCACGCCGGGGCCCCCCTCCCTCAGGCAGTTACTGTCTTATGTGTGAACAACCAGGACAAATTCCCAGCGCCCGGCCCTCGCCAGGCAGCTAATTAGAAGCAGAGGGCGGCGCCCGGGCCAGGGCTGGTGACTGGGCTTGAGACGGCGACGGGGCCCTCGTTTCCCCCTCGATCCCGGCATGGGGCGCCCCACAATCCCCAGAGAAAGGCTGGACCCCCACTGGAAAGAGCAGGGGGCTGGGAGCCAGGACGCCTGGGTTCTCTCCCCGGCTCTGTGAGGGGAGCGGGGGCTGGTGGGTAGAGCGGGGTGGGTGGGGGGGCTGGGAGCCAGGACTCCTGGGTTCTCTCCCGGCTCTGTGCGAGGGGTGGGGGCTGGTAGTGAGCGCGAGGAGGGAGGTGGGTGGGGGCAGGAGTCACTTCATGATCTTGGCCAAGTCACTGCCCAGGCCTTGTGCCTCGGTTGCCTGTGAGAAGAGCAGGGCTGGCACTCCCCTCCCTGCCGGCGGGCGCTCGCTTGGCATGCTCTGCCAGGGCCTCTCAGAGGCACCCTATGCCCAGCCCCTGCTCACAAAGCCACGGGATCTCAGGGAGACTCGCCTGGGCAATATGGGGTCTATAGCACACAGCTGAAAACTCGGGGTTTCACCCAGCAGAGGGCAGCAGTGCCCATGGGTTGCTATTCACACCAGGCTCCGGGAGGATCAGGGGCCACCCGGCCACTGCCTAAGCAGAGCCAGCCCACGAGGTGTAATTACTGCCTCCCGAACCCACCACTGCGGCTGTGGGGAGCGCAGGGGGCCGGGAGCCAGAACGCCTGGGTTCTCTCCCTGGCTCTGGGAGGGGAGTGGGGTCTGTTGGGTTAGAGCAGGGGGACTGGGAGCCAGGACTCCTGGGTTCTCTCCCCGGCTCTGGGAGGGGAGTGGGGGCGCTGGTGGGTTAGAGCAGGGGGGGCTGGGAGCCAGGACTCCTGGGTTCTCTCTCCGGCTCTGGGAGGAGAGTGGGGCACCCCACGTACCCCAGTGCCTGTGGTGGGGTCTGTTCAGAATGGCCGACAACTTAGGGGTCCCAAATCATTGGGCAGAGTGAACCCCCCATCCCTGCCTGCGAGTCCTCTTGGCTCCCATGGAGCGGGGGAGAGGGAGGGGGGGTCCCGCTGAACCTGCCCCCACCCCCAGCTGGGCATACCAGACCTCTTGGCCTCGGCCAGCCCCACTTTTCCCTGACCACCCCGCCCCCCCCCGCCCTGGGAATCTCCATTGGCCCTCTGGGTTACAGCTGGGCCCCCCAATCCCCTGCATACCCCATTCCCGTTTTACATGTGAGCCTCCCAATCCTGAATGCCCTGCTCCCCCTCGGGCGACTGTTGGCCCCCAAACCCATCTCCCCTTTCCCACGGGCCCCCCATCTCCCCGCGTGCCCCTCCCTGTGTCCCCTATTGCTGTCCCCTGCCTCCGATCTCCCCCCTGCGCCCGTCCCCGTGTCCCCCACCCCCAATCTCCCCCAGAACCCCCCGTGTCCCCCACT